GGAGCGACCCGGGGCCGCCGCCATCGGAGGGCGCCCCGCGCCAGCCAGGGAGCTCCGCGCGGAACTCCACAACAAACAGGCTTGTACCTCCTGGCGCATTGGTGTCGCTACGACCCCGGCGCTGGTTTCTGACACCGCGCGGCTGCTTGTTCGATCGCATGATTCTGGGCCACTGGCGGCCGCGGTGGGGTCGCCGCCACACTTGCCACGACACGACAAGATCGCATACCGCTCTGTATTCCTCGAGCACCGCGGCCAGCTGCTGGAAGGCGCTCCCGCCCAGCACGCTGAACGGCCTCGTGAGCGGGCGCGCGGCGCCGGCCGCGGCCTGCTTCGGGCCCGCCGCCCGCAGCGCGGCGGACGCCTGCTGCTGCGCGAGCCTCGAGCCGAGGCTGAGGCCCCGCCGGAGACCTCCGTACATGGCTTCTGACGGCGCTGCGAGGTGCGAGGCGAGGCTCGGGAGCGGGACGGGCAATGCGAGGCGGATGCCCCCCTCGAGACAAAACGGTCGCGGGAGAGGAGCTGCACTGGTACAAGCGCTGGTAATGGTGGTAGTGGTAGTGGTAGTAGTAGTAGTAGTAGTAGTAGTAGTAGTAGTAGTGTAGTAGTAGTCGTCGTCGTAGTCGTAGTCGTAGTCGTAGTCGTAGTCGTAGTAGTAGTAGTAGTAGTAGTAGTAGTAGTAGTAGTAGTAGTAGTAGTAGTAGTAGTATAGTAGTAGTAGTAGTAGTATAGTAGTAAGTAAGTAGTAGTAGGAGTAGTAGTAGTAGGATAGTAGTAGTAGTAGCAGCAGCAGCAGCAGCAGTAGTATGTAGTAGTAGTAGTAGTAGCAGTAGTAAGTAGTAGTCGTAGTAGTAGTAGTAGTAGTAGTATTAGTAGTAGTAGCAGTAGCAGTAGCAGTAGCAGTAGCAATAGCAGTAGCAGTAGCAATAGTAGTAGTAGTAGTAGTAGTAGTAGTAAGTAGTAGTAGTAGTAGTAGTAGTAGTAGTAGTAGCAGCACTAGCAGTAGCAGAAGTAGTAGTAGTAGTAGTAGTAGCAGTAATAGTAGTAGTAGTAGTATAGTAGTAGTAGTAGTAGTAGTAGTAGTAGTAGTAGTAGTAGTAGTAGTAGTAGTAGTAGTAGTAGTGGTAGCAGTAGCAGTTGTAGTAGCAGTAATGGTAGTAGTAGTGGTAGTAGTAGTAGTAGCAGTAGTAGTAGTAGTAGTAGTAGTAGTAGTAGTAGTAGTAGCAATAATACTAAACCTATCATTACTACAATACGTGTATTACTATCACGATAGCTACGGGTACGGCAGCGCATACAGCTACGACTCCATCAACTACTGCGATACGACTGCGACGACGACTACCACTATGACTATTACGATTCCTTCTGCTACCTCTGCCATTACAACGACTACGAGCACTGCTGCTAGCCCCACTACAACTATTACGATTGCGAGGCGTACTACGACGACTAATTCGACTCCTGCGACTATTGCGGCGACTACTACTGGCACGAGAGTTACAGGACCGACTGCTAATCCCACCAGCCCTTTGGGCGTGAGTGGTTTAGCGAGCTCTCTCTGTTCTCAACCCCCCAACCCCCCTTCTGCCCCTTCGGGGAGGGGTTTACCCCTCCCCCTACCCCCTCCCCCTGGACCTGGAGAGGGCGCCTCGCGGGTCGTCAGGGGGGTCATTTTCGACTCCTGGGAGGGCTAAAAAACGACACCCCTCACGAGGATCCTGGCCCCGACGGGGGGAGGCAGACAAAACCCTCTCCTCTTCTTTGAAGCCAAAATCATTGATTTTACTACGGTTTCGGCCCCATTTTGGCCTTCTGAGGGGGCAGCGCTCATTAAAGCACCCCTCTTCCTTCAAGGCAAAATCATTGATTTTACGAAGGTTTTGGCATCATTTTGCCCTTCTGAGGGGGCAGCGCTCATTAAAGCTCCCCTCTTCATTGATCGACTTCCTCCAAGATGGCCCCAAGAAGCGCCCAGGAGGCACCAAGAGGCCCCAAGATGGCCCCAAGAGGCCCCCAGGAGGCCCCCAAGAGGCCTCCAAGAGGCCCCCAAGATGCCCCCAAGAGGCCCCCAAGAGGCCCCAAGAGGCTCCCCCGAGGCACCCAAGACGCTCCTGGAAGCCCCTGGGGCCGCCAAGAGGCCCCCAAGACGCCCCAAACGGCCTCCAAGAGGCTCCCAAGAGGCCCGAGAGGCTCCCCCAAGGCACCCAAGACGCTCCTAGAAGCCCCTGGGGCCGCCAAGAGGCCCCCAAGACGCCCCAAAAGGGGACGAGGTGCCCGAACGCCTCACGCCACGAGGAGCCCGAACGACTCACACCAGGACGAGGGGCCCGAACGACTCACACCACGAAGAGCCCGAACGACTCACACCACAAGGAGGGGCCCGAACGACTCACACCAGGACGAGGCGCCCGAACGACTCACACCACGAGGAGCCCGAACGACTCACACCACGACGAGGGCCCCGAACGACTCACACCACGAGGAGCCCGAACGAGTCACACCAGGAGGAGGGGCCCGAACGACTCACACCAGGACGAGGGGCCCGAACAACTCACACCACGAGAAGCCCGAACGACTCACACCAGGACGAAGAGCCCGAACGACTCACACCACGAAGAGCCCGAACGACTCACACCAGGAAGAAGGGCCCGAACGACTCACACCAGGACGAGAAACCCCAAACGACTCAAACCACGAGGAGCGCTTTCTCTCCCTCCTCCTCCGCCTCGTCCTTCTCCCGCTCCCCCCACAAGGAGGATGCACCCGGAGGCGGGAGGAAGGAGTAACAGGGGAGATATGCGGGGCCAAGCGGACACACGCCTGAAAAACACGACTGTCGGCATGCTTCGCAAGAGTTGCTGTTGTGAGATGGGCTGGTGGGGACACGCGAAGCGTAAAGAATTCTAATGCTGCTTCTGTCGGTTGACGATGAGTGGTATGGGTTCAGGGTTCGGGTTCGCGCTCGGTCTCGTGGATTATTAACGTGACCATAACAAGAATGCGCCATGAATGCAACAGCAATGTCGTGCTAATAACATGCCCTAATACATGGTACACCGTGTGCGTGAACAAGTGTAAATTTATGTAAATGACAAGTGGAAAATGTATGGGACTGCCGTAGGGATACGGAAACAACGATCAATAAGCGAAGGATGTTGTCCAATGCAGGCGATACACAGCAGGACAGCACGATGGTGAAGTGTGCACCGTTTCTGCTGATCTCAAGTTCGAATCCAAGATGTCATGGTACATGTTGCTTGAGGCTGTAGAGGCCTAAGGTCACAACGGACCCAGTCAAACCCATAAAAGTAAATGCTTGAGGAGATAAGGAAAACTCTGCGCATCGCCAGGGATGCCCCCAGGACTCACAGAGATGTAAGCGGGGGCCCCGCCAGTTCCCTTTGTAGGAGCGCAGACCAAGTAACACTTACATGTTCCGATCACGACCCATGGGGGAAAAAAAACAGAAAGGAGCTGGACAGTACCCTGAGGACATCCTGAGGTGCCCGTAGAAATCCACCAGGAATCGGAATGGCAATTCACCCTGAGGCATCGAACCAGTGCCCTCAGGAGCCCGACGCGTGACCGAGGGGCCGGCTCCGCCCCTCCCTGGCCCCGTGGACGGCCGAGCCTGACCCGCGACCTCGCTCCTCGGCGCTGGGGAGGCGAGAAGCAGGCGGGGAAACGGGCCCCGGACGAGCAGGACGTTCCCACGGGAGCGACCCTCCTCATCCCGAGCGGCTTGGTGACGGTCCCAGGTCCTTGGGGAGGGCCCCGCCGAGCCCGAGGGCGGCGGGACACCTCCAGGAGCCAGGGCTCGAGTTAAACAGTGTTTTCCGTTTCCGTTTTGTCTTCGTCATCCCTAGGTCTGTCTTCGTTCCACGTTTGCTGCAAAACGAAATCAAAACAAAAACGGTCCACGAAATTGCCAAAACACCGTTTTGGCTCGAGCCCTGCCAGGAGCCCTCTGCCTCTTCAGGACGCCCACCCCAGCAGCCTGAATAGCACGGTGCAGCCTGGCCAGAAGGTCCGCCAACGCCCAGATGGGTTTCCAGAGCGCCTCGTGGCATCGGGTGTGCCCGTACAGTGCAGTCGGCCTGTATCATAAGGATGCGTGGTAAGGATGCAAGGGCCTTGGAGGGCCAAGCTGACGTTTTTCGAACGAGGCTGGCCGGTGAAAGTGGCTCAGGATGAGCCGAAGGGACACAGATGCGAGGGTACCCTTGGGAAGGCTGCCCATCCTTACTATGCGGGCCGACTGCACGATCAGAAAACCTTGCTTTCAGAAATCCAGGGTTAGGTCGGGCATGTCCTCCTACAAGCGGAATTTTCGACGAATAATTTCAACAAAAAAAGAGGTCCCAACAGTCAAACATAGAAAAAGCATCGTCACCTGACTGTTTGTTCTGCTATTTTGGGATACTCCTCCTGTGGAGGGACATGCCCGACTTGAAACAAGGGCACATTCGTCGCCGAGCCTCGAGCTTCCCAGGGTGCCCCAGGGGCTTCTGTGGGCCCTCCTGGGCCCTCGGGGGCTAAGAATCCTCCGTGGGGCACCCGCTGACAGGCCGGCTTTCTTACCCGACGTGCCCACAAAACATGTTGAGGAGAGGCCCAGGCGGGAGGCCTGGGACCGGATGCGCGAACTCGATTTTGTGCCGGCCCTGCTTCCCCATCCTCCATCCCCCCCCCCCCCCTTGGGACCCTCCTCCTCCTCCTCCTCCTCCTCCTCCTCCTCCTCCTCCTCCGCCTCCGCCTCCGCCTCCGCCTCCGCCTCCGCCTCCGCCTCCGCCTCCGCCTCCGCCTCCTCCTCCTCCTCCTCCTCCTCCTCCTCCTCCGCCCCCGGCGACTGCACGAGCACCCGATGGGAGGCCCTGCGCTTTCTCCTCGGAGCACCGAACCAATGATCGCTGTCGGCCGCCGCCAGTCTGCAGGATGCATGGGGAGGGACTCGAGACAGCTGCCCGAGAGACGGCTGCCTGCCCTGCGGGCGCGGCTCAGTGCACGCTGCCGCTCAGCAGCTGGGCCGCCCTCGACAGCTTCTCGCGCTGCTGCCGGAGCATGTGGGCGAGCGTCGGGCGCACGCGGGCGAACGAGAGGTTGTTGTAGAAGAAGCTGATGAAGATGAAGGAGATGGCACACTGCGCGAGGCCGTAGCCGACCTCGAAGAGCCAGATCGAGTAGAAGGAGAACCAGATGGGAGCGCCGGCGATGAAGAAGACGGCCTTGAGGATCTGCCCGAAGACGAAGAGGATCAGCAGGGGACGGAACGCCTGGAAGAGACACCTCATCACTCCGATGAAGATGGACTGGTAGTGCAAGAACGTGAACGTGAGACCGATCTCGAACACCATTGAGCTCGACCGTGCGGTGTCCATCAACTTACCACCTGGTACGACGGTGCTCTCTGCGCCCTCCACCGCCTGCGCCTGCTCCGCGGCCAGCCTCCCCACTGCCGGGGCCGAAGACGGCAGCGGCACCGCGCGAGCCTCGAGCGCCGGGGCAGCCTGGACGCTCGCGGCCTTCTGCACCTGGAGGACGGCCCCAAACGGCGCGAGCATTCTCGTTCGCAGACCCGCGGTGACTTCAGGAGACCTTACTGCGTCGCCGACCCCGTCGCCCTTGGCGCGCGGAGCGTGCCCAGGGCGGCGTCGGAGGCGCCGCCCTCGACGAGTGCGCCGCGCCGAGCCGGGAGGCCCGCGTGGGCCTCGGACGAAACGCCTGCCATTATGCCGCCTCGCTAGGAGGGGGAGGAGGAGGAGGAGGAGGAGGAGGAGGAGGAGGAGGAGGAGGAGGAGGAGGAGGAGGAGGAGGGAGGAGGAGGATGAGAGGAGGAGGGGGAGGAGGAGGCGACGCCGCCACCACCACCAGGGGGGACACCTCCAGCGAGGGGGGCTCCAACGACACCTCCCCGGGAGGTGCCTCGAGCGAGCGCGGGGCCACACCGCCAGGAGGACCATCCCCGGCGCCTCGCGCCGATGGTGGCGCCGCCCCCCCGTCCTCCCACTTGGGGGAGCAGATGTCGGGGGGACGAAAGGGCAGGATAGCAAAGGGGGACGAATAGGTCGAGAATCCGCTCACGTAGCCGGTCTTCCTGGCGCCTCCTGGCGCCGGGAGGCGCCCCTGTGTCGAGGAAGGGGCGGCCCAGCGGCAGGGCCGAAGCCAGCTGCACACAACAGATTTCGTGCCTTCCCCTTTCCCTATCCTACCCTATCGTCGGCACGGAGATCCGCCGGCCCACTTCTGGGGCTTCTGCGTCAGTTCCAGTTTCAGGTTTCCAATGTGATGGTTCTACTCTCTGCGTGCTACTGTAATTGTTGAAGTCCGCGCGAGGGGTGGGAGCCCCAAACGACCCTGCACCACGCCCTCTGGGGGATATCAGAATTCCTGGGGCCGTGGGACACGTAAAGAACATAAGATTCACGCCCCCGAAGCAGCAACTTTCGTAAATCATTGAATCGCGTGCCCGAGGCTTTATGCGCGTCCCCGAGGCCACAATCCCCAGTATATTTCACGATAAGATTGGCGTCTCCGAGGCCATAAACTGTTATACATTACGCCAGATTCGCGTCTACGAACCCATACCCCCTTGTAATGTATGCTGTATTCGCGTCCCCGAGAAAATAACTCCATGTAAATGATATGCAATACCTGCGCCCCCGAAGACACAAACCCTTGCAACTTACGCTATATTCGCGTCCTCGAGGCCACGATCCATTGTTAATTATGTGATCCGCCACCGTGCCTTCGGCACGCAGGAGAGCGCCCCACAGACTCCTGCAGCCCTGAGAGGTTCCAGGGGTCACAGGTTCAGTCAGGGCCAGGACATCCGGTTTCCGAGGGGCCGCTCGGACCTCTTTGGGCGCTCTTGGGCGTTACAGGGGTGTGTCGCGTCAGCCGATGGAACGGTGACCCCGCCCGACAGGAACCCACAACAGGCGCAGAGGGTCCCCCCAAGACCCCTCCGCGACGGCCGAAGAGCTTTCCAAGATGCCCGAGATGGCCTCACAACGCCTCCCAAAGCCCACCACACGCCTCAATGGTGCTCCGAGGGGAGCCTCCAAGAAAACCCCAAGGAGCAAAGTCATCCCAACCCGTTGGAAAAACATGCAGTTGGGGCATTGTCGCCTTCTTGGTCGGCACCGCGTCCAAGTCGGCCAAAGAACCCTCCACGATCGCCCCGACGCGGCCCAAGAGGCCGCCAAGAAAGGCCTCAAGCGGCCCAAGAGGGCCACAAGATGACCCTTCAGGAGCCCAAGAGGGCTCGAAGAGGAGCCCTAGAGGAAGAACACTAGGTCACTGAAATGTCGCGCTCCCCGCCTCACGATGACTCCGAAGACTGCCAGCAGGCGCCCTCAAGGCTACAAGGAAACGCCAAGGGGCTCTCCTGAAGCCCAAAAGAGCCTCCCAAGAGGCCCCCCTGAGACTGTAGCACTGCTTCTACAAGGCCCCAGGAGACCCTCAAGAGGCCCCAAAGAGGCCCCAAGAGGCCCCAAG